TGTTGGAGTCTAAAGTATACTTTTAAGTATGACACCTTTGTTTTTTTTTTGTGACAAATTACAAAAATATTGTGTTTTCGTCCATTTTTTGTATGCTTTGTGTTAGTCGACAACGTTGTTTCAATTTGTTTCCCTCGTAAATAAACCCACTTCAATTTGGAAAGACTCCCCTCAAAATCGGTATCTGGCCAGATTGATGATATCCGTTTTGTTGATGTGATGCTACGGCGATATCTCACCGACAATCGCTTCGGCAGCGTTTGAATAGGCTTCTTATTTAGTTGGAGCACGCGTCTCTCGTCCAATGTATCAATGACGCAATCGACTGATTAATTTATCGTATTTTCGCCGACGCCCAACCCCACCGGCAGCTCCGAAATGCGTTCGCGAGGGTGTAAGCGTGTTGCCATGCATAATCTCGCGAGAAATCTTAATCGATTGCGGACTGGCGCTAATTAATTCGCCTCTCCCGACCGCCCGACTCTGTCGGCCTCCCCCGCCGCCCACACGCCGGTCTTGTCGCCCTCGTCGCTCGGCTTACATACGTTCGGCGCGCACTTCGCCCGTTCGCCCGTGATCATTCCGCCGCGCGCACGCCGGCAATCTCGCGCTTAATCTCAATCCTTCATCTAGTCGATTTTCTCGGTCGTTGTGCCTGTGCGCGCCGCCGCCGTCGACTCCGCGCCCGAAACTGGACCCGGCTTATCGTCGGGCTTACATCCAGATCAGCAGCACTCCAACACTCGAACACACTCCAGTGGTCCACTTTTCTTCCGGCTGCGATTGGTCGCCTGGACTTTGCCAACAATAATATTTAATTCGAAACAACTTCGAGTTACATCTCCTGGCGTGTAACTTTCTCATTAATTGATTACTTTTGAGTCACTCTATAGAACAAACAGGTGTCTAAAGTGTGTTTAACTTGGCATTCTATCATCTTCGACCTGGCATTATTGATGCACTTTTCAGGTGTAGATTTTGTCGCCGTAAATAAAGATTAAAGTATAAAGTTAAGTTTCGAAAAAGTTTGAATCGGCTTCGGCCGGGGAGCGCACGACGACCCGCCGGGTATTCCCAGGACGAAGGATGCTATTTGCACGTTCCCCTTTCTTTCGTTCGTTTTTCTGTAATATTTGCTCGTGTGTACATTTGTATACATCAAGATCGATTAATGGTATAACTATTGCTCCCGGGGGTTAACTCCCGTTAAAGAAATCTCCGCGCATAGAGTCACAACATATTCGGGAAAAGTTCGGAAGTTAACAACAGAAAAAAAAACACGTTATCAACGCGCTTATTGATTCGCCACTGAACTTTGCGAAAACAGACATTAATGCAGCATTTCAGATTGCGGAGTGTTCGACAGTTGGTAATAAATGAAATGAGAATGCGTTTCTTTTCCGCGGAAGTGATTATTTATTTCTTAGAATGCGCTTATTGTCATTCTTTGATTATTTATTTATTTTGCAAATTGCAATTGCGTGCTGGCGTTATACGATTCTGTGTGTGTACGCTTCATCGCACGCCTTAATAATGTAATTGTTGGAGTTACGGCACCAAAGCCGAACGTGTGTGTCACTTTACAGTCCAGTCGGCTGTTTGTTTACTGGTATCATAGCAACGTAGTGTTTGTGCTTATAATGCGTGATACGTGCCAATCGGCAACTTCACCCTTCGCCACTTTCTGCTCATAAATGTGTACATTTCTCTATTTTATACTCATTATTAATGCATTCTATTGTATGCAACTCTTCCTCTATTTTTCTATTTTCCAATTATCGCCCATTATTGTTTAGGTACCAATTATTATTTCCTTCTCCTCGCATATTTTTTCAATATTTCCCTGCAATTGCCCTTTCCGAGAACCAGTATAGCAACTTGTATTCCATGAACTCAAGAAAAAGATAATGTTGGAGTTGCAGTACAGATAATGAGCAGCAGAAGCAAATCTACAATGGTGTTTGTTAACCGTTACCTTGACAACGTGTCTGGCCCGGTAAAACTTTAAATCCTGACCTTCCAAAGATTTCTTTGATGTATGTACTTATTTATTATATTCTTTGCGTTAGCGTTTTCTCGCAAAGCTTCTCGTTATCCTGTCCATCCTCTGGTAACGACGTTGGCAACATGATATTTTCTATAAAATTCAAACTCAATATTTCACATTTCTTAAAATCGGCGGAAAAAATACGCGTGTAAGGTAGATTTGTGATCATTCAGCGACGCGAATTAATCCAGGCGCTAAATATAGCGCGACTCTCGCTGCACTCCAAAATGCAGTCAAAAAGCTTTCAAATTTTGATTGTTGCATGAAAACTATTAATAAAACAGCGCAATGAATTCGCATTCGACGCCCGGCGATGAAATCCCCGGCCGTGCGGGATTAAGTACATCAATTCGCATGAAGAATGTGTTAACGCTCCGCGCGCTTTGAACTGCAATCAGGACCGCGCTGATTAATGTGCCGCTTAATTTAATGTCGTTTATGTAATGACGAAACATATTTCTCGCCCGCCGAAGTCAATCGGTCACCTTGTGAATTCATTTTAATATTTTTAGACTCGGCGATTCGGTAACTTCCCGCCGCCGGTTGCGCAATGTTGCATCTTTCATTCCGACACGTGTAGATGCGAATTAAAAACATCAATATCAAAAACGTTAAATTATTGAAATGATGATTTACGCGCGCGGTGGAAATGTTCAAACGTTGGCTGTAAACTTGAAAATTCATTTTTCGAATATCTATGATGTAATGTTTACAATAACATGCCAAACGTGATATATTGACACAATGGAACTTGTATACGACAAGAACTATTTGATAACAGTGAAAAGTGAACGCACCGAGTGTTTTTCGAAAAGCTGTACGAATGTGAACATTAGCGGAATTATTATTGCGATTGCGATTAAAAGCGCTTATAATAATCGTGTAGCAACGATGTTATTTTAGGAAATAATTTGCGCAGGACTACCAAGGACGCAAGAGATAATTAAAACCATAACGTGAATAGCGCTCGGTATGCATTAAATGTGCATATGTTTCACATCTAAAATTAAAAACGCGGTAAACTAATGTAAAAAGTAAAGTTTGGCCGTCGAGATGCGGGACTAAATCAACGGGATGCCCGCGTAAATACAATTTGCCTACGAGCGCGCGAACTGGTGCGTGTGCGAATGTGTGCGTGCGTCGTGCGCGAGGCCCGCAAGAAAAGTTTCGTCGGGATTTATATCATCGCGTCGTGTGGCCCGCGCGAGTTGTTTTGCTTGCGCGGCGTGTTTTCCCGTGCACCCAATTCGGCGTGCGGCGTAAGTTTAACTTTTAATTTCGACGCCAAACGCGCGACGCGCATAAAAAACCGCACCGTATTTTTTCGGCAGCGCCGCAACGATTTTCGGAAGATTTCTCGGCGAAACAAAAAGCTTCGGCGGTGGCGTGCGCAAGCCACGTGTTGCATCTCTTATTCGGGGTGTATTTATTGCATTGCGCGTGTTTTCCGGTACAAGAGTCACGGCGAGAAGTTTTTTGGACAACTAGTAAACAGTGGGGTAAGGCGAAAAAAGAAAAAAATTGAATTTTTTATTGATCTTGAAGTTTTTTTTTCAAGTTATAATTTAGAAACTAAGAAAGAGAAAGATTTTTGATGTTTTACCAATCACCTGTGACGCAAGCAATACCGTTCGATACTTGTACAGCGACTCAAAGCATTAGCCTTTGAAAATCTCTAGTGAAAATAATCAATTTTCGAGCGGTTGACAGACTCTTTTTAATACATGAAAAAGTGTTAATTAACTTTACAGGGAAATATACTCGAGTTTAATCAAATTATTACGTTTGATTTTATTAGCTTTAATTTATTTAATGTCAATAATTCAATCAAATTATATCACGACCGATTCAAATAAATTAAACCCAATGAAATAAATACATGAGAATACGTTAATAATAGAAAAACCAAATATTAGGTTAGATTGCAAGCGAGTATCTGTGTTGAAAGACACGCGTATTTATTTTTTTGTGGTCGAGGATGTCGTTGAACTAAATTCGAAATGAATTAATAGTGGTCTGAGTAAATATTTAAACTTGGATTATACAATCGCTCTGCGCCTGTAATTATGCGGAACAAAGAACGGAAAAGCTACAATGCGGTGCTTAGCGTGCCAGGAAAGTTATTAAATACTAATAAAATTAATTGCTTGCAACGTGGAAAGCGCGATACATGAAATAATATTCGACCTGCGGGTCTTCGTACTTAATATCTCAACGAGGCTTTTGTTCCAACGATGCTCGAATCGAAGAGCCAACAATAAACCACTTAAAAATCTTTTCATATCGCCCTCGTTCAACGATCGCCGACTGCTGGGCGCAAGATGCACGCCATTCAATCTCCTGGCCTCCTAGCGCTCCTGGCAGCTTCAACCTTTCTATTGCCTTCTCGCCGGCGTCGCCACGTACTTAGGGGTTGTGCGCGCCAGCCGAGCGTAATCCTTCCACCTACCACCTTCGCCTCTTTCCACCCGCATGGCGCGCCCCGGGTGTAAATCGGCTCACGTGCAGGCATACCGCTCAAAAAAGTGCGGCGCGGGGGCGGCATGGCGCAGTGCATTTGCGTGCGGCGCGGATGAATAGGCCGGGCGCAGCATCATCGCGCTTCATTGTGTCGGTGCGCGCATTATCCGGCGTGCCATCTCGCGCGTCCTCGCCGTCGGAGCGCGAAACAACGCCCCCGCCAGCCCCGGCCGCCACTCGCCTCATTCACGTTGTGTAATAATGTTTGCGCAACTTTTTTGTCTCGAGATTGAGAGATGAAAGGCGCACGTTAAACGATTCCGTTAAATATTAAAAAAAGAACGTGACGTCGTTTCCACCTGCTCGGTGGCATCGTGCCCGCCACCACCCTCGGTCCAACAGCGCGACCTGAATTCCATACGAGTGCGTCCGTTTCACTTTCTGCCTGTCGTCGTGTTCTAAGACGCTTAAATTGTTCATGTTTCTGTTTCAGCAAAATGTTTGTGGCCGACATGAATCTCCTCAACATGGACGCCGAGAACCGGGTGGTGCTGAACGTCGGCGGCATCCGCCACGAGACCTACAAGGCCACATTGAAGAAAATACCGGCGACGCGCCTCTCTCGACTCACGGAGGCGCTCGCCAATTACGATCCCATATTAAACGAGTACTTCTTCGATCGGCATCCCGGGGTCTTCGCTCAAGTACTTAATTATTACCGGTAAGCACGTCTCGAGCATTTCTCCCCCCTTTTTTTTTCTCTCCTGTCAAGTGTAGGAGTAAGTAATAGCAACCCCGGGAACGGGAACAGATCGTGCGCGAGTCAAAACGTTTGCTTTCCGCGTTTGAAAAATTGCAGCGATGAATAAGCGCTTTGAATTCGCAAATTTGGCAAAGTTCGAAATCGCATTCGGTGATCGCACCGCATGTGCGACTCATACATCTCACGCAGTCAATCCAATAAGAAAGAAGAAAACTTGCTCGTAAATCAATTTTTCATAAATGCCGCGTCGCCGCCGCCGCCGCCACAGCGCGCCTAAGCTTATTTCCGCATTCACTTATCCCAGTTCGCCGCTTCGGCGCTTACACCTTCTTATTCACTTATTCACTCGCAGCTTGTTTGTCGGCGACGCTGTAACACTGTTAGCTCTGCCTTGATCAACAAACTCGGTTCACTTTTGCGGCGCGATTAAACCGATTGCGGCAGGAAACGCAAAAAGTGACAAAACGCGTGCAGCGCACTCCGGCGCTGTTTGTCGACACGTCGGCGTCGTCGTCGCGAACTCGATACCTTCCCGCCGCACGCAGGAAACAGGAGACTGCTAAACACGCCGAATCCCATTTACCTAGAGTGTTGTAAAACCGCACAAATCTCCGGTTACCAACTTACAAGCGTTCGGGGCCTAATCCGCTCCTTTGTTCGGCTTTAAAGTTCGCTTAAAGCATTCAGCGCGAAAGAATGCAACAATGCGCGCCGGTGAAAAACTAATTATTTCATACCGCCTCATGAATATTCAATCTCGGACGTAAAACAAAGAATACATCGTGCAGCCACTATAAACAATCGCGTTAGTTGTTTCCTTTTTGTGCGCTCGTTTCCGTCTGTCTTGCGTTGGTTTTTTTGTGCGTGTTGTGCGACGACGTCTTTTTCTCCGCATCTACGAGTTCATGAAACGCACTCCGTTGTCGCGTTGCGCGCGCGCCCGCGCTATTTGTCATTCGTCGCCTTTTTTCCCATGCGACGATTTCGTTCTTGCCGGCGATAACGTCAAAGGCAATATAAATAAGGACGGGCGCCACCCACCGCTCCGGTCTGTCTTCGTCGCGCATTGCGGTCGGTGTGCGCGCGCGTTGTTCGCAATAACGCAAAATTACACGATTATTTTCACTACTAGAACAGAGCGCTGCGACAGGAGCAGAATGTTAGTTTCGTCTTTGACGGCATCATCAGCGTATGCCGTCCTTTTATTTTATTTCCTCTCATAACATCCAATGTGTGCCTGCCCTGCTCCATGGCATTATTTTCCTCTTTTCTCGCTTTGGTTGCTGGCGTTTTTTTGTTCTGCGCGCGCTCGGAATGTTTATTCGCAGCGTCGAAACCAAAATGTCGAATAATTGAGGTTGAAATTGCAAATTTATGGAGTAACTTACACGCAGCATTTTTTCAACTCGCGAGATTGTAGTACTAACATTTTACATTTTATGAAGACACACATTGACTGCGTGCCGAGAGAGTTTCAGTTTTAATGTAAACATTCGCGATGTAACAAACAAATACGGACGAGAATTATTGTAGTAACTTCCACTCCAGTAGTTTATTTGAAAACGCTTTTGTGCGAGGATTTTAAACACATGTTGAAACGCACCGAAGCACACAAAAGAAAGTACATTGGAAAATATTTACTTGGAATTGCTGATACTTCAGATATTCGCTCCATGGATAAAACTGCGCTCTAGATTTTCCCGCAAAGATGTAAATATTATACGTTTCGTCGAAATGATCTGCATTTTCTCGGAAATAAACATTAGGTATTCGAAGTTGCGCAAAGTCTGAAACAAAGCATTTCCGCGCAGTCGACATTCGCGTTGGAATTGTAGGAATTGCGCGAATCAATTCAATAGCATGCCTCGTGTTGAACGTTTATTGAATGTAATTGAACTGTTGCATCTGCTCATGCGTTCGTCCTTCCTCTGCGAAGAAACAATTTTAAATAGTGCAAACCATTCATTTCCGACGGCGTCGACACACATAAATCTGGCAATTGAACGGAAAAGCAAATTTACTGCCCTCCCACTACCCGGAATGCATTCACCGCTGCATTTTACTCTCCGCTCGGAATTAATTCGGTGAATTCAAGAGATTCGCCGTATTCACCGCGGCGCATTGACTGGCAGAAGAGAAAAATTAATTTTTCATTGTTTGCGCAGCCGACATCGCAAGTTCTTGATCGGCGAGTAATTACGTGCTACAACTTTGCCAGTCGCCAGCTTGATTCAGTTTATTTACGGTGTTAATTTAAGTTATTAATTTAGATATTACAAATTCACGGCGAATTGTTTCTGGCGCGGAACAAAGATTTCCTCCGAAGTGTGGAGCCGCGCACCGAAAAGCATGTTTCGCAAACTTGGCGAAGTCGAGCCGCCAACCAGGACAGACACTCGCCGCCCCGCGGATACACAAGCAACGTTTACTTATTAATTTCGTTTGGAAACAAACTTTTGGGCAACAGGAAGTTGCAGATTGCGGTACCAGCCGCCCCGAGCCGTGGCTAAGCCGGCATGCGACGACACCAAGGCCGACCCCGGGCGCTGGCATTAAGGTTTAACACCGAACTAGTCAATAATCAAAGTTGGCGCACGCCGCGGCGTTCATTGTGCTTTAAAGTTGCGACCGACGATCGCGTTGTTCAATTTAAGTACTAATTCGATTTCCACCACTTACTCAGTAACTACTTAATACCCACTAATATGTTTTTCGTCAAACAGCTTCGCGATTACAATTATTCCGCTATCTGAAGTGCCGGAAGTGAAAAGTCGTCCAATATCAACACTTTTACACACAAAAAAAATCAATGTTTTTCTTAGTAGATCGAAATAGTTGGCTATTTATTATTAGTTGGATAGTTGGCTTGTGTTTGCCACACTTGCAAACAACTTTTTGCGCAGGCGTCAAGAGTTTTTGGACTTGAAATGAGTAATTCCCACCGATCCTGTTTGTGTTTTGTTTCCGGTCCTCTTTGCCTAGATTAAATTAAATCGAGCAAAAACAGCCGCACGAAGAGGACGCAGAAAATTAGAAATATTAACGGAATTCTGCTTTTGGCTGAATGATGCTCATTAAAAACCAAAGGAAAACAGAAACAAAACAAAAAAAAAACTAAAACGAATTTTTTGCTTGCAGGACTGGAAAATTGCATTATCCATCGGACGTTTGCGGCCCACTGTTCGAAGAGGAATTGGAGTTTTGGGGATTAGACGCAAATCAAGTGGAACCATGTTGTTGGATGACTTACACGCAGGTAATACGATACGTATTGTTTTATGACACCAACGCACATAAATAAATAAATCAATTGCAACGAATTAAATAATAATTCGCGCTGGTTTGTTGCGCCTTTTATTGCCGCTTCGTTGAGTGAATGTTCACGACACCATAAAATGATATTTCGGCGTGCTCAAGCGAACGGAGAGAATTAAAAGTATCGCATTATTATTAATTAGTTTATTTAGTGATTCGCTGCTTGTTCCTCGGATGTTGTTTGTAATCTGATTCGGCCACCATCGAAGCCTGTATTTTTATTTTGCACTTTATCATGCTAATCGGTTTTTTTTTGTTGTCACGCAAGAATAAAATCTTTTATAGCTTCTGGGAACTTAGCGGAGGCGAGCCACTTTCGTCTGCCGGTGGAAACTTCAAAAAATAAAGATTGAGCGATTAGTTCCAGAATACACTAAAAGCTTTATTGATTTGCTGTTGAGTACGTTTGTGCTACACATATCTGAAATCCTCTGAAACGTGAGCTCGCGTTCGGAAGGTCTTAAGAATTCGACGTGATGCGGTTTGAATGCATTTCTTATCGGAACTTTTTGTTTACTCGCGAGATATTTGCGCACTAATGTGTTTTTTATTGGCCAGAGACGGGCGTTGGCCCAGTTTCGGTTTCGATCCGAAAAGTTTACAATTAAAAGGCAAAACGCCGAATTGAACGCAAATTGCACTGATCACTAACTAGCGTGATAAACTTCCAGCTTTGGTACATCATAACAGAATTTCCTGTTTGATAATTGGACTGCAGGCTGCAGCGCACGTGCTGCGACGCGTATGCTGATCAATGCCGATTGCACACACCTGTGCAAGGCACGCGCACGCGCACGCGCGCCCGCCTCAATTAGTCGTTAATTAATGAGCAGATTCACATGTCGCGCGCACGCATTCGCTCCGATTGACAAAGATGCGGTGGTGCAAATTGTTGCTGCCGCCGCCGGTGAAGAACACAATCTGTGTGCCATTGCAATGGCGTGCACAAAAGCAGGCCATTCACGCCGTTTGCAATATCCGCTGCATATAACAGGCGACCGTTGAACAATGCACAATTGATAACTGTATTGGCACGGCAATCCACAAAAGTTATTTGTTTATGACCTGCCCCCGTTGGGGCATTTATTCTGCATTTTCTACACGCCGCAACAAATGGCTGGCAATCATTTTATTTTTCACCCACCTGCTCGGGAACGCAAGCTGTACGACCAACCATTTACCTTAAACATTTGAAATTTATATAATCCAATCCATTTTATCATTTGATAGCCTTAAAAAACATGCGCAGGAAATAATTTCGATCCTCAGAACAAAATATTCGATTTTGACGCATCTGTTGAACGAGAATAAAAATGAAATGCCGGCGAAAGCTTTGATATTTCTATTTACATGCGATGCAATTTTGATGCAAATGCAATCCGTGATTGCGCAGACCAAATCCATTTAATGGCGTATAAATTTTACGATTGAACCTAGCGCTCCTTCTGTTTCTACTACGCTTTCCAATCATTTCAATGCCAAAGTCGCGCGCCGCTGGCAGCTTGCCCTCTTCGGTCCAGCCGTCAAATGGAAATGTTTTTAATTGGTTCAATTGATATCTGTTGATATTTCGACAGCGCGCGATATTCGGGCGGACGCCGCAGAGATGTGGTCGTTACGTAACAGACTTACACATTTCCAGGATGAAATTCGCTCGGCGATGCAATATGTGCGAGGCATAAAGTTTACGAGCTAAGTGTTCATTTTGTTTGGTATTGTCAGTTTCAAATATCAGAAAAATACGGAATGGTGACGTACGCAAGTTGCTGAAAACTGACTACAATTGTGCTTTTCAGCATCGAGATACACAAGAAACATTGGCGGTGCTGGACCGACTAGACCTGGACACCGAAAAGCCGAGCGAGGAAGAAATCGCGCGTAAGTTCGGTTTCGAGGAGGCGTACTTCAATGGCACATTGTCATGGTGGCAGGGCATGAAACCGAAGATTTGGTCCCTGTTCGACGAGCCGTATTCATCAAACGCTGCCAAGGTACGTGCCATTAAAGATGGTTCAAATTTCTAGGATATAATCGCGTTAAATCTGCGTCTAGGTGATCGGTATACTCTCAGTGTTCTTCATATGCGTTTCCATCGTTTCGTTCTGCCTTAAAACGCACCCGGATATGAAGGTGCCGGTGATACGCCGGGTGCAGGTGCGTACGGCGGACAACGACACCTCGTTCGTCATCGACAAAACCAGTACCGAGGCGCACGTTGCCTTCTTCTACATCGAATGCATCTGCAACGCGTGGTTTACCTTCGAGATACTCGTACGCTTCGTCGCCTCACCGAACAAGTGCGAGTTCATCAACTCGTCGGTGAACATGATCGACTATATCGCGACGGCCAGTTTCTACATCGACCTGGTGCTACGTACGTTCGCCAACCACTTGGAGAACGCCGATATCATGGAGTTTTTCTCGATCATCCGCATCATGCGGTTGTTTAAGTTGACGCGCCATTCCTCCGGCCTGAAGATTCTCATCCAGACGTTCCGCGCCTCGGCGAAGGAGCTAACACTGCTGGTGTTTTTTCTCGTCCTCGGTATTGTCATCTTTGCCAGCCTCGTGTATTACGCCGAACGTATTCAGATAAATCCGCACAACGACTTCAAGAGTATACCGCTGGGCCTGTGGTGGGCGTTGGTCACTATGACCACTGTTGGTTACGGTGATATGGTACCAAAGACGTACATCGGAATGTTCGTCGGCGCATTGTGCGCTCTTGCTGGTGTGCTCACCATTGCTCTGCCCGTGCCTGTCATCGTCTCCAACTTTGCCATGTACTACAGTCACACGCAGGTAACACCTTTCCCTGATTTAAATCACGTAGATTGATAGGTACTAGTAATTCCATTCTAATATCTGGTATGACCAGGCACGAGCAAAGCTGCCGAAGAAACGCCGACGAGTATTACCCGTGGAGCAACCGCGTGGACCAAGAATACCTGGACAGGCGCAGGGCCCAGGCGGATGCCCCGGTAACGTGCCCCCTGGTGGACCCATGAGTGGTCCGATGGCGCAGAATCGGCGCATGAACGCAATCAAGGCGAACCATCCCAAGGAGATGATGTCGGGCGCCCAGAAGATTGGTGAGTACCCGCTTCTACTTTCGCAAGCATTGTGCTTGTGAATAATGCCGGCTTTCTAAAATAGGTGGTAATAAAGTACGCTGCGATTCGTCATTCCGCGCGACCCGAATAAGGGCGCGCTAGTTTACGCATTGCGCTGACCGCCTTGGCGCAGCGCGGGTTGAATTTACGAGTTCCTCAAAGATCCAGCGTAATCTAATATCTTTTGATGAAGAAATCTTAGACTAAAATGACCACGAGAAACGTGTGAGAGGAACTGTGTCGGTTCCATCGAAGGACGTTTATTTTTTCCATACCAAACGATAAAGTTACAGCATATTGTTCATCTGTTCGTGTATATTCGCAGCGCGAAACATCTGAGAGAATTGGCGATTCGCTTTGGTTTTTTTCGCTGCGCAGTTGCGCAACCTAGCAACAAAGGAAAACTAAAGGAAAGGCAAAACAAACACAAAGGCGAATGTACATACTTGTAAATATATCTTGCGGTGAAATTATTCCGACTATGTGATACGTAAGACTAGATTGATGAGGAAAATCCATCAAATTATTGTATATCGCATCGAAAGCGCTAAAAAATTGATAGATAAACATGCGGAAGATCCTAGGCTCTATCGCCGACAATGAGGGCGTCATACATATTTCAGCGCAGTCGAGCCGATAGTATGATGAATCGCTTCGTGTGTCCGCGTGCTCGTGTGTGCTTTTTAATCAATTCCTCACTATCCGTTTTTGTGCGAAGCTATTTCAATTACAAATGCCTAATTTTCAGCGCATAACGGTCGTAACTCACACTAGGCCTAAATCAATACTTCTACATACAACCATTTACTTTGAAGAGTCCTTGCGTAAACAACTCCGACTCACTTGGCGGTTTCTTCAAATTTCACCGGCAAATCACGCGTTTTTCAACGATGGTCCATTCTTTTTGCGCGCGCGCGCTTCAATTTGAAAGACGCATGGCATTTTTCTCTCCGAAATTTATTGAACGCGCCCGGCAGGAAACGAGTGAAAAATTGCAGTTAATTAAGCGCGTTGCGTTGAAACACGCACGGGAATTTTTTGTTTTCTTAAAAAACTGTCTGCGTTCAACATCCTTGTGGCACAGATATTTAAGGCTAATTGCGCACATCAATATTCTTAATACGAGCGGCGTGTTCTTAACGATCACCGATACCTACCTTTGGGTAAATCTTGGCGGTTTAAAATCGCGTCAATAACAATAAACGTTTTTTGCGCTCATTTTTCGCCGACGTTAAATCTAAGTTTTCATTTCGGGTGAGGTGGCGCCGGAGATTTATGCGGGCATACGTTTTGATAGTGAAATACGGACTGCTCGTTTCACCATTTGTCAAATGTTATTCGCCTTGCTAATCACCTTGCACTTTAATATTCCGTTTTCGCGCAGTTGGCGAAGTCGGGAATACTTGGCGTGATGCCCCCTGCGAGGGCGGGGTGAGGCCAACTCACAACCGCAAACGCAAAGCGGCGTTTAATCAATAAAAGCCGAGCGCGATAAGGGCGAGAAAAAATGTATAATGTGTATACATATTATGGAAGTGGAAGGCATTGTAAGCGCCCCGCAAAGCGCGATCAGAGAAATATCATACGAAAGGAAAAACAGCAAAACGCGCGCGAGGGCAGGCAAGTAACATAATAGCGTGGAGGCGCCGGGAAATAACGGCGAATGTGGGGTTGCAAACACAAATAAAACCGGAATTATCTAACTGTAATTTTTATTGAGTGAAAACAAAAGGGTGCGGATTGATTTAACAATTTGTCAATATCTGACAGGCTTTGTGGCAACAATTTTACGTTTATTAACGCAATAGCAATTAAATATTTTAAAATCGTGGAAATATTTTGCTGGTTAGTTTGATTTATATTTACTAAACATTCCCATAGGTGCGCCTTGAATATTTTGATGCAACTTTGAATATTTGGCGGCTGGCAGGAAAATAAAATTGCAGCCATTCGCGTAAGAGACTACTTCGGCAACGAATTGCACTCACAGTCGCTCCGGAAAAGTCGTTTTGTTACGCCGCACATGCATTCTTCGCCAGCTATTACACCCATTGAAAAATGATATTGGATATTGAATTAGATTCACGAGTATTACACTATTCTATTTCTGCCATTCGGTTGTAAGCTATTTCATAATAACTTTCTCAGATGAACGACACATAATGCCCCAATGACATGTCCTTTGTGTTGGCTCTTCTTTTCTTGGCATTCAAATCAACCGAAGTGAAATTACTTTTACAACCGAGTTATTTTCGTCTATTTCTGCGTATCTCAAAAAATGCGATTGGAATGCGCAATATTCAATATCGCGGACGGAAGAAAACTTGATGGATGCAAAATTGATAAAACAAACATGCGCCATGTTTGCCGATAAAGAGTAGCGCAAACATGGTACGTGCGCATAATCGTCGTCGGCAACGTCGAGCAAACATGCGGAACAGTAGATAGTCAATTGTTTATCGGTCCTTGCTGCGTTTAGCCTTGCGACGCTGTTCCGTACATCGTTCGCCGGCGTTTATTTGAGTGATCGAGTGATTGATCGTCTCCGCTCGACGGCGGCGGCGGTGATGTGCGCGCAGTGCAAACAGCCGCCGCTCAAGTGTGTTCCACGTGTCAAATGACTAATTATCCTGTTTTTGCTGCTGCCCGATTAATTAAAATCCGTCTACGAGTGCGCATTCTCTGCACCACCAGGTAAATCATTCGCAAGGTGAAACTCGCTCGTTTGCAGCCCGATCTAGACCAATCGGATGATCGGACGTGGACGAGATTGTATTGGAAATAAAACAGGCAGGCCTAAACAGACATCATTTGCATGAAAAAGCAATGCAGGCGAGCTTTTTTGCGGGCGAATAACACGCGCTTATTGGATCCACAACGGCAGCAGCCACAGCGCAGTCGAAACATTTAAAAGGTGGATGATTGTCTGGCGCCGAAAATCGCTTAAAAACTTTGGCGCCCAGGCGCGCGATCAAAGGTCAAGCAAGTCCCTAATCAAATTTCCTCGCGTGTGCGCCGCCTCGACATCGATCGCACAACTAATTCTTATTCTATTGTATCTAATCCTGCATTCTTCGACAAAGCGAAAAAAAATCAATCTTTTCAGTTTTACTACTCTCGGATTAAATTACGTTCCGAATTGGTTTTTCGGTTTGTTTATTAACATAAACGAGTGAGCAAGTGGTAAAGGTGAGAAGGCATTGTGTCCAATAAGTAAATGCCACTCGCTACAATGATACGACACGATGGTGGAGGCGCCGGTAGAGGCGGGTGGCGACGGCGCGTCGTTACGGTTTACTTCTTTCGCGTGCCTTTGTTGATGGCTGCTCGCGCGCCACGTTCGTCTTTGTTTAAGATAATAAATCCTTTGTTTTCTAAACATATGAAGCGAAAACGCACACAGTGGAGCACAAAGACGTGAACAACATGGGTGGAAGAAATCAGCGCGCTACAAAACCATTGAGTTATGTTTTCAGGAGCAATTTTGTTGCTAGCTTTATTGTTTGCTCGATGTTGGCTCGTTTGTTTCGGATTGAACACAATGTGGGGATTTACATTTGTTATACTAACTTCGGGTGGAAAATTGACGCGGAGAAAAATTAATTATGTTGGTTTACATTCGGTCAGGACGACCCAGAAACGAGGAAATACGTTTGTGATAACGCAAAAGAATTGAAGACGGAAAAGTTACAAAAGTGATTTGAATCTTTACTTTGATGATTGGCACTCGTCGGGAACACTTATACCACAACTCAAATCATTGGACATTTTATCGGTGCAGCAGGTTAATATGATTAGCAATAGTAATTAGCCGGAAATTAATTTTGTGGTCGTTTTAAATCAGTGAGTTTTGGAATGTCATCTTGCAATATTTTTTGCTTACTTTTTGATTAAAATGTACGCATAAAACAAGCGTAATCCATTAGAACATGCCAGTGATTTTATTACTTTTGTCTTTGGAAAGAAGACACAATACAAACGACGTCACACTATTTATTTGTTGAGCAATTTGATTAGTTTCGAACAATGTGGCGTATAAAAACGTGCCTTTGCATGTCGGAAAGAAAGCGCGATTTTATGGATCACGCCCAGCACGTCGAAGAAAAACACTTCCATGCCTGCGTGACGACGAAGAAAAAAAGCCAGCCGGGCACGAACGGACAGATATCGCATTACCTCGCGCGCTGCAATACGCCGTGGCGCTACAACAGATAAAAGTATCAAAAATTTACGACCTTCTCCGGGGCGCGCGCGCGTCACAAAAGACGCGCCATCCGTCTTCCGCGCGCACGTATGCCCGCCGACGCGCTTCGATGAGTAAATCAGTCAATTTCCACGCGGCGCGGCAATAAAAATTGTCCAGTCATTTCCACGCGTCGCCGAGACAAATCGCCGCGTGCCGCGCGCCTCCACCATCGCCGCAACTTGCAATTAACTCAATCCAGCGCTGATTAAATTAAGCGCATTCAATCAACGCCGAGAGTTGTTTTCCTTTCGCATAATTGAGACGGAGTGTGTGCTTAGCGAAGGGACCGAATTACGTAAATTGGTTTCCTATAAAAACACAACGAAAGAATACGAGCTCGTAAAATACTGAATAATAACCGCCACAGGTTGCGCGCCTGCGCTTAACGCACGCTAATAACATTCATTTGGTAGCATTGTCGTTTGTTTTGTTGTGGCCCAAGCCAATAGTACCAAATGATATTAAAGATTACCAGCATTGAGGAACTCGTTATTCAGCGCTGGTGTTGGACGACCACATTGTTGGCCTAAATATTTGCCTCTTGTCATGTGTACATTTCTAGCACTTACTAACCATTTCCAGATGAAGGTCATATCAATTCCAACGGAGCGCAAAATCCGCCACAGTTAAATTGAAGGATCTAATTTCTCTATACAAAAATGCAAAAACACACAAAAACAAATGCGGTACTTATACGATTGATATTTGATTGATGCATTTGTGTACCTGATTGTATTGTGCATCGTACTGTATTGGTTTCCTTAGGTTTTATCTTTACGATTTGTGTACGAATTTCGTTTCGTTTCGTTGTTGTTGTTCTTTTACCTTCTTCGGCGAATGTATGGGGCGTTGTTGCTGTCGATTGATTGTTTGACATGTGTTTTTATTCGACGCAATCCCATCCGTCACGTTGTGTTGTTGATTTTTTTGTTGTACTGGTTTAGTGCGGCTGCTACCTGCGCCGCGTTTTGCGTTCTATTAAGTTGTTTGTTATCTATTTTATTGTTAGTTAGATGCGCGTATGTGTGTATATTATGTGTGTCGAAACGTCGTCGACGATGGCGCAATAAATTGAAATATTATTGCGCTATCGCGTTGTGTGTGTGTGCGTGTGTTTTTTTTTTCGTTGTCAACCGCCCGCGGAATATTGATTTCAGCGCGGGTGACAGTTTCGTATCGTGCACTCGCGTTTTTCGCTCGAGGGCTTCTGAAACGATGATGCTCGCACCGCAAACATGTTTTCATTATCATCCCAACGCGCGGTGGAAATGTTCTTTTTGAATCAGATTAATCGTACAGAAAAACTGTCACGTTCGTTTGCGGTGGTAGTAATAACAGTAATACCGCAATCTAAACTGTGAAAGCGCGGTTAAAATGGTACTTTACTTTTTTTGCATAACTGCTTTTAAACTATTCATAGCGAGTGCGACCGAGTGGGAGTGAAATTTTCGGTTGTCTGATCATCGACACCAATCGCAGACCACCACGTCTTCTTTTAGTTTCTTATAGTTTTCAGCATGGACTTCTTAGATTTCTACTTCTGAACTTACCTCAACTTATCTCAATTCTATCTTTAGAGATGTTTATGATGGAATGTTGTTTCCTAGTATTACGTATAGTGCACGCCCATACGATTTAGTTACTAGAGTTTGCACGTTTTCTAACTGTTTGCCTCCTCTGACCTGAAGCTGGTGGCTCTAATGATGTGTGATGTTGTAGGTGCGCTCTCCGTCGGCATGACGGCGCCGTTCAACACCAACGGCGTGAAGATCGCCGACGGCGGTGGCGGCGGCGGCGGCGCGCCGACGACGCTCCCGGCAGACGGCGACACCACCACCACCACGATCACCGGCGGCGGTGACAGCGGTGTGCAGGACCAGCTCAAGATAAACTCGCAGGTCACCCTTGATCCGGTCACCGGCCAGTGCTTCACCTCCACGATCAAGCAGCCGATGTTCTAACGGCGCGAGCGGCGGCCCGCCGGTGGTAAGGCTGAGCGTGTGTCTCGGAATCTGACCGGGATGAAGTTATGTGCCGTCGGCAAATCAGCCTGCATGAACCGCTCTATTCCATGGCGGTGGTTCATTACGATCTACTTGGTTAAATATTCGATTTTATCGAGTGGAGTGGCGTTCGCCGCGTCGAAAATTGATTGATTCGCCGGCGTCGACACGCTCGTTTTTCGCAATTATCGCGCGCCTGCCGTTTCATTTGCATTTCATTATGCATGCGTATTACTTTTTCTCGCCGGCGCGCCGCATGCTGCAAAATACAACAATCTCAACATATCAACATCAATCGGTAATGGAAATTACTTTGGGCGCGCATTTTTCAAGTTTGTGCGTGGAGTGTAAAATGGCGGTCGCAACATGAAATGTTAATTGATCTCAATGGACGTGAAGTACAAGAACGAGCTAATTCTCGACATAGGCGGGTGTCGGACTGGATGAAGCACCGGCGCGACATGACGTCTTCATTATGCACCATGAATCATTGCGCTACATGCACGCATCCGGTATCCTACTGCTGCTCCTGCTGCTGTTCAACATTCATACGCTTCTTTAGCTCTCGGATTATTTGCGTATAAATATTACGTCTTTAGCAGTCTAACTCGTTTTATTTCACATCACACATTATACAATTGCATTTAACTCTTCTGGAATATCGAAAATACGGCTGGCGTGGCACTTTTATGAACACTTCGGTTTTTATTCGCCGCCGCTGTAAAAGGTATTCAGGTTTCTGATTCTGACATGCCATCCATGCTCCCTTTATGTGCGGATGTGGATATTGAAGTGACGTGCGAATACTTTTCGTAACTAATTCAGATTTTAATTTTCGAAATGTGTGTTTTTGTGTTGTGCGCGGAGCGAGTGAATAAGCACGTTTGGAAATTCGACTATCAGTGCAATTTCCAGGCGGTGGCGGCGGCGCGGCGGCGGCAGAGGAGATGGAACACGCTTTTGTGTCGCGTGCGTTCGGGGAGCAGCCACATATGCAGATGCCGCGCGCTTCGCGGTTGCCTTTCCCATTCAAGCCGGTGCCGTGCCGTTCGTTTGTTATTTTAATCCGACTGGAGTAATTCTGGTTCATTAAGATGTTTTCTATGATTTAGCACTGAGTGAGGGCGCCGCATTACTCGGCTGCGTGGCTTCGCCGTTGAAACTAATTTCAGCATTTTGGAAGATTATACCTTCGTTCCCATGCGCCGCAGGAATATGTTGCTATAAATAGTCATAAACGCTGCTTTATTCAACGTTTTCGAAAATTTATCAATGCGGGAGCAGCGAAAATCTCCGAGCTCTGGGATGCAGGGCATATTAAGTAAATGTAGTACGTACATGCGACACATTTGTGATCAATATATTGGTAAGTCGCTCTATAAAGACGTGCGTGTTCAATGGCGTTTTTGAAGCCGGCGGGCTGCGCTAAAGCTCCGACATATTAGTTACGAACGACCGAGCAGCGCTCGCCGCCGAAAACGGGTCAAAAACCAAAAAAAAAAAAAGAAGAGAATATCTGGCGACGCGGATAGGAGAAAAAACTGTGTGAATGCACCAGATCGTGAGAAGATAGTCCTCATTCAACATTGAACATTCAAAAAGCGCGCTGAATGCTGGCCGCTCGACGTCAAAGGCTCGATTTTTCATAACGATAATCGATGATAAAGTCAAAAAGGGTTCTATTTAGTGGAGCGACCGGCAGGCACGTGCGCTATTTCAGAAATTTCCAATATAAATTGATACAAATTGCTGCGCTGCCATCGAGTTTCAAGCGCGTCGAGCCAATAAATCGTTAATTGTTTCGGTTGAAAGCGAATTATTATTTTTAATCCCGCTTTTAGCCATTCAAGGTTAGTTTTTGCGCTAGTTTTATTCCAGCTGGAAAATTCCACATCTCTGTGTTCTTTTGTAGCGCGTGCGGAAGATTTTCGGGGGTTTACATCGTTTGGGTATCATAACTAATTCAATTTTCACGCAAAGAATGCTATGATAAGTCGCAGTCAAAAATCCTTCCCCCTTGACGCGCTATTGATGGAGTTCTGTCATCTCGGGCGGGAATGTATAATGCATGTCGTGCAACAAGATTTCGGCGGACTTTTTTTCCGCGTCGTTTTGGGAAAGCGGCGCGGCACGTAACGCAACGAAACGCCGACGCACGAAACGTGCCACGCCACTTTTCCATTCCGCGTTTGCCGCCGCCGGCCCCCCGCTTCCACCGCGGACGGCATTGCCGCCGCCGCGCGCGCGTCCCTTTTCCGGCGTATCGATCTTAGTGCCACCACCACCACCAGCACCGCTGCCGACGCAACATGCCGCACGAAATCTAAGTGCCTACGTACGGCGAGCCGGTGTTCGCGCGCCGCCGCCGCCGCCGCTCTCCATCAGCGTTTCCTTTCATGTCGCGCAGGAGCCGCATTTGATACGCGCCTGAATTCGAATATTCATATTAATTTTAAAACAAATTACGAATAATGTATCCATTTCGGGTGGCCGCGCACAGCCACCACCACCGCCAGCCGGATAAGAATACACCAGTCCCGCCTGCGAAATTGTATCACACATAATGTGGAAAATTATGATGCAAATTTCGTAATTACGCCGTCGAATCGGGATGAATTTGTTTTGCCGACGCGTAATTATTATGCAAATTCGCTGCTCGCACTACATTTTTACTTTCGCGTAATTATGTAACTTGCTAATTCTCCAAACTTCACCAGCGCGTCGACACGATACAAATCTTTCATCACTACTTCGCTCGTTTCGTTATTTCGTCGCGCGCGCGTTCAAATTAAAAACATCACAATGTCGTCGTCGAGGACGTCGCGACGTCGCCGACGCCGCAGTGCCTTGCCGCTCGACTTCGGAGATAAATGCAATTTCCATTCTTCATTTTCCGAACGTGATTAAAACGAATCTTTCGGTCTCTCTGCGCCGAAAAGTCAAAAGTTAAACAAATAAAGATAAGTGGACGCGATTAAAAGTCAGACTGTAAAAGAACTTTTATGATAGTGCGTAGATTACAATATTTTTGTTTGCAAAAAATTTAATTTGCCTCAAAATTGACTTAAGTCAAAATAATTTTTATTCACTCGAGTGTTTCATAATTTACACACTTTGCGTGTCGAAAAATCACATCTTCACACTTCCTCTGCGATTAATTAGTTGTAATTTACGACTGTATGCAGTACCGGCCGCCATCAAACACGCCATTCTATTCTCATGTGTACTCGCAAGCGTTCGCCACGTCTACACTCGATAGAAGCGATGTGAGAAAAAAAAAACTGAGTCCATGCAAACATTGATGTCGTGTTTGTCGAGCGCAGAAATTTCCATGTTTTCTCGGAAAATATCTGCGAGCGCCTGATTGAATCCTTAAATAGCGCGGTCCATGCCACACGCCGCGACACCTCAGCCTATTCAAAGTGAAACTTTTCGTAAAACCCAACAAATACAATAATTAATGGAGTAAAATGCATAAAGTTATAAACCTAGCGATACACAGTTCAGTTTTGCGTCTGACATGTACTTTTATAATCCGATTGAATAATGATCGCAATTACAATTAAGCTACTACATGTAAGCGCATTTGATGTACGGCTCTGGACTCGATCGGAATTTGAATTCGCGTTGCTTTGTAAACTATGCTTTTATCAGTTTCGATTCACACCACAGCGGAAGCCAGCGCAGGAACAAGTGAACAATGTGTGGTCGAAGGAATGTACTGCCATTAGAAATTACTATATGTAACTATGTACGTACGAAAGTAAAAATATCGTCATTATCACACAGTCTTGTTACGGAGGACGCCGTGTGGTTGTCATAGGCACTGTTTCGCTGCTAAATAATGAAAATTACTTATTTACCAATCGAAATTGCGCGAAGACGTTGAGCTGCCTGCGTGATAGATTTATCCGAGGAAAAAGTTTGGGCTGAATTATGAAAACGTCTAGTTATTGTAAAATTAATCCATGCGATGTCTACGCTTCATCTTGCATAAGAAACGAGCGCGTTGATAGCACGCCATGTTTTGTTTTTTCGGACGCGAACTTGTCGTCGGGACCAAACTGAAGTGATGGACATATTTTTGCTGTCGTTATTTTTCGTCTGCAAATCTCCGATGTTGTGTTGGTTGTTTTTTTTTTCTCTCGGTTTGTTTCTCGTTGTTGATGTTTGTGCTTGTGCGGAGATGATGAAAGTTTTGGACTCGAAGCGTTCAGCTAACACACGTGTACATAAATTTCCACAGCGAACAAAATGCCGATTTTAAAGTGTCATCCAAAGTGACAATAAGAGACCATTGGCATAGAATTCTCCACACCTGCTGCCCATTTGCCGTTTGTCATCTTGTCAGCTCGCAGTCGCGCAGCGTTTTCTACATTTATTCACTAGATGAGCGCTGCGAGCGAATTCAACAATTACTACGAACGCATGCCGAATGTTTTCCACGATGTTTCCGCAATTTTCCTACTCAATTCGACGCGAAACATCAGCATTATCAGTTTGTGCGGTTCGTACACACATCTGTTTCGATTTGCATTCGAAACTCAGCACACTCACGCACGCGATAGTTTTCGGTGATTCGCAATTTATTTGTGCTCCAACCCCGTTCAGCCGATCCAAAAACGTAATTTATAAATTGGGCTGGTTAAAAGGACGCGTCTCACACCCATTACTTCCCCTCCCCAATCGTCATGCGACACACACACCAACAGCACCCAGCAACAACAACAACCCTGCGCGCACTTGAAACAGAAAAAAATTGTTCGTCGGGCGGGCGGCGGGTGTGGGCGTGCGGCGCGCTCGCCGCTGAACGAAACCCTAGGAAATTAAATTCGCGAGCGCGTTGCGCATCCACCACCGCCACCCACCGGGTATTTACATTTATATATATATATATATAAACAGAATCATATATTCATAACGTTAGCAAACTTTACATAAGTCTAGTTTAATGTAAACCGCTAATTGTAAATAAATACATATCGAATTTTTCCGAATATATACATAAAATCTATATGAAATAAACATTATATACTATATAGTTACAATACATATATAAATACATAGGAACTACATCTAAGAGATAGAATACGACATATAATTTATATATGTATACATGAGAACAAATTTATTAACTATAAACAAATGCAAATCAATATTGTGAACAAATAATAGAAGATAAATCAAGTTTTCGAGGGGCGTGATAAAAGAAAAACAAAGAAAATGAACAAAAAACGTAATGATGTCCAAAACTACGGGCTGTAATATTTTTGTTAGAGTATTGTTTCACGTTCAAGACGATATGTGAATAAGTAGAACGGCGTTGATCGTGATGGAAATCGATTGTTAATGCCGGACTGTCGAAATAGCTGATTTCCGCGGTTGGCTGTTGGCTGCGAACGACGAAAAACAAAAATATAAACGCATTGTGAGGTTGAAACCAAAAAAAAACATTGTATACCAAAATATTTCCGAAGATTTGCTAGCATGCAACGTTGATGTTATTTATTGGTTACTCTTTGTAAAAAAAAGTACACAAAAAAATAAACGCTTTGAGTTGATTGTTGTTAATGAACGCAGAAGGTTCGCTTGGTGGTCGCGATCGCAGACGATGTCGTTTGGCGAGCGCGATTCGACGGCTTGCGATATGCACGTGTAAAGCTAACAATGTTAATGTAAATTAAATTATCGTAAACGTGTGTAATGAGAGTGGAGTAATGAAGCAGCGTGTGTTTCCGTTTCGTACTTGGATCTTCAAACATTGTACACGTACTTGCGTATACACAATATTTACATTTGTAAGGAACTCTAAATGAAAAACCGAAAAAAAATGCATTAAAAATAAAACGTTTCCAAAAATCGTTTCGGACCAATGAATGTAAACTTAAAAAACAAGAAACTAAATTTTACTTATATTGATTATACGGATATACTTCGATTATTACCCAGGTTATTGTTATACTTAATTAATTGATTATATAATGTAATGTTTACTTAATTATAATTAAGAGGAGATAAAAAAACATACATATGTAAGAAATTATAAATACTATAATGTTATTATTGCGTAATTTGCATTAAATAAAGATAAATCAAAAGTCTTGCGTTTATTTTCTTCTTGTAATTTTTTTCGACGATTTTTGAAAATTAATATCTCTGAAACTAAAAGCCAGAGCAACCAGCAAATTGTTTATTATGGAATCCTGAAAAATTCTCATCAGATAAAACATAAAATAATTATATTTCCTACAGTAAAAGGCGTCGAAAACGCGACTAAAAGTAAAGATTTTAAAAGTAATTTTTGCCCATTTTATTCAATCGCGAATATCTCGTAAAATAAAAGAGATATTTAAGATCTGATCGCAGCATCTTAATCTACGGACCAATCTCTCATCAGATATGATAGTTAAACGGAAATCTGAGAAATAAATTTTATTCTTTAAGAAAAAAAATTGCCAAGTGTGTGCTTGATACTTTTTTTCGACCATTTTCAAAAATTCATATCTCTTAAACTAAAAGAGATAGCTACTAACGAATTGTTGATTATGAAAGATTGGAAGATTCTCTATCAGACAAAAATATAAAATAATTATATTTCCTACAGTAAAGGTCGAAAAACGCGACTAAAAGTGCTTAAAAGTGGTATTTTGGTAATTTTTGCCCATTTTATTCAATCGCGAATATCTCGTAAAACTAAAAGAGTATATTTAGCGACCTGACGCAGCATCTTAATCTACGGACCCAATCCTTCATCAGATAGGATAGTTAAAACGGGAAATCTGAGGAAAGTGCTAAAAGTGACATTTTGCAATTTTTGCCCATTTTATTCAATCGCGAATATCTCGTAAACTAACAGAGATAAATAGGTACAACTCGCAGAGAATATGCTACAGACTAATATCTATAAGATAGGGTAGTTAAAGCGTTTCTAAAAATCGTTTAGAACCAATGAATGTAAACTTGAAAAATTATTACCCAGGTTATTGTTATACTTAATTAATTGATTATATAATGTAATGTTTACTTAATTATAATTAAGAGGAGATAAAAAAAACATACATATGTAAGAAATTATAAATACTATAATGTTATTATTGCGTAATTTGTATTAAATAAAGATAAATCAAAAGTCTTGCGTTTATTTTCTTCTTGTAATTTATTTTGAATTGTTTCAATACATCTATCTAGTTTCTGCGATTTTAATATGTCCAGTGATATGAGTAGAAAAAGTAAAAACATTTGAAATTAATTGCCTCACATATAATTTATTTAATATCCTTCAATTGCCTACAATGTTACACATATTTATTGCAAAATATACCAACAGTTTAATAATAAAATATCTCATTTCCCGTTTGGTCCGAATTTTGGAATGCTTCGTCTCTGGCCTGTTTTCAATACATATTAGTGCTTAAAATATTCATAACCAGCATAAAATGCAGTTTATTACAGTATATCACAACAACATAGTTCAACATCGTGTCGTTTGTCTTTTGCTTCGTTCCTCATTCATAAATGCATAAATACATCGATTGAGTAAAGCGTAATATGTCATTATAAAATTAGTTCTCTCTGTAAACATCGCAATAGAAAATATAAATATATTCAGTGCGCTCTTTGATGTGTTGTGGAACGATTTAACTGCTTGTGTGTGAAAATAGCTTCAAATTTTGTCACTATCACATCATAATATATATTGTGCTCTGTATAATTATCTATGCGAACCCAGCGCTTGGACGTTTGACCAGCAAACATTCCATCGGTGAGTTGTAGTTGAACTTTGTGTTAATGCATTCATTTGCGTGACATGCACATAACAATTTAAAACTTATGCGTACGGAATGGTATTTGCTGAATGTTGCGTTCGACTGGTTTTTTTTCGAAACCAGTATCACATCGAATTTAGTGCACGAATTAAATTTAACTACTCATCAATTCGCATTGCTCCTAATAAAAATACACGAATGCATTAAATGCACGTCTTGGACTTTGACTTATTTAAATTTAAACTGTATAGACTTATGGGCGATCTAGGACTTTTCTGGTTTGATAAAACCAAAGTTCAATCTCAATTGCTCGAGGAATAGGAACGTGAGGATGGTGTGCGGGCCGAGACGCACAAACGCCGGAATGTAACCCTTGTAGAAGCCCAGAGGGCCTAATTTGGCGGTGTACTTTACCGCATCCCAGATACCTGCAAATTCTCCTGGTTTACTGTTCATCATGCGTGTTTTTATCACATCCATCGGTTGCGTTAGTGTCGTGGCAATCAAACCCTAAAATAATTAGACAAGAATAATAAAGGAAATCAGTAAATAAATGTTGTATTCTCCTACAGCTGTTAAACTCGAAAGGAAATGCGTGGTGGTATTATCCTTGAACATCCCAGTGCCGAGTAAATATTTCTTGACGAGGTCGTAAAATGCCAGCTGGCCAATGGTCATAAATACAGCCCTGGTGGTGGCGGCAGTCGCACCATTAAATAATTTCGTCGGGCCTTCTTCAGAAGCGACGCGTACTAAACCATCTATTGCATGTTTATAACTAAAAACAAATTTACTCTGAATGGTTAAGGGTAGTCATGCATTACATTGAACTAATAATAATAATTATTATCAATTAAATTCATTTATCATTAATAAACAAGGTTGTAGTGTAATACGCTCAAGGGCATTACAATGTCGTATTTTATGTGGCAATTTATCAGCGTTGCATATACTGAGTGAATGATACTCACTTTCTGCGTTGTTCAGGTGGTAATTTCATATCGTTCTGCATGCGTACGTTGATCATATCACCAGGAGTTCCAACTAAACCACCTGCGGCGCCTGCCAACGCCGCCATAGACACGGCGATTCCAAAAGATGGTTGCGTAGTGCCCAAGGACTGTTTCGCCATCTCATAGATACCGAATCGTGTAGTTGAATATGTCAACTGTCGCAACAACGATGCGGAAATGCCATTGTACAATGCAAAAAATCCTAAGAGAATCAAAACGCTTTTACAAATTGCATACAAGTGCTCAAAAACCAAACATTTCCTACCATCTCGTCGTACAACCTGCATTGTCGTTTGCAGAATGCCCAACTTGCCGGTTTGTTGCGTTTGAAGATGCACTTTAATCAAATCAATGGGGTGCGTGATGCAAGCGGCTCCGGCGGATGACAACCCGCCGAAGTACCACCGACCGACCCTTTTCTGCTCGGTCATCTTGGCGCTGGAAGTACTTTCTGCAACCAACGCCATAATTCCTTAGTTCTATTCGCACAAGCACTTGTTAAAGACGCAAATGCGACTAAGCTAATCAAAACTTGGCGCAGTTAAAGAAGTTTACTTACTGGGACTGCGACACTTGAAGTACTCGTCAAAAGAAACGCAGAGGGCCCGTTGATAACCCCGGCGTTATCGAGAAGTGCTGCGGCTAATCGCGGCACGAATTGATGAGTAAACAGACGCGAAACATTTGTGGACGCAAGATATTAACAGAACTAGAATTTTGTACAGCGACTTCGGGCGCAGTGGTGTTACATACGCGCGGTCATGGTGTCTAACAGTGCGCGAAAACTTTGTTCAAACATCACGTCACGATACGAAACGTCGAAAGCGCGAAACGTCAACTGCGTCCTAATTGGTCGCATGAAGCACGTTGAATTGTTACGTAATTGTATGCGTTCGACATTAGCAACTCACGCTCCAATCCGCCATGGAAAACTTGAAAATCAAGCTCATAAACCAGACACACTTACTTTACATTCGAATCGCATTTGGAATAAACGACCTCGCGCATTTTATACATACATGCATGTATAAAATGTGTCTACTTGGCAAAATAATACAACATTTTAAAGTGGCGTTTGTTTCCAGAGAACTTGCAAGTAATCAGTTTTTTATTTATCGTGATCAAGTGGGATTCACCTTGAAACTTAATGAAACTCAATCTTACTAGTGGCCACGCGATATATAGTTTATCAGATGATTTTGTTAAGTAATGGCGATAACAACCACGTTTTCATTGATTGTACATCGCGTGATAATCAAAATGCATGCATGAAACTTTCCAAACTTTTGAATTTTACTTTTTATTCTTTTTTAATGTACGTGGCGCCCTCTAGTACGACTTTCAACAACTTGTCATCTTGTCGCAGGTTATGACACACGTCATAGTTTAAGTTGAATAAAGTTAGTTCGTAGGACGCAGTGAAAATTCGAATACTCACCGGGAAATCTCTGTTATCACACAATATCGGATGGAAATCGTAGAGTGGAAGAAAGCACGAGACCATGCGGCGGACCCTAGTACCACAACGCACACTGTGACGATTCGGCATTAAAGCTAAATTATTTAATTGCTTCAAGGTTAGCCTCGTTATACGCGCTATCTACTTCGTCGTTATCACACTCAATAATTCCACTCTCATCGCAATCGTTGTCGGTGGCACGGTGGCACACGGACTGAGTGTCGTCGTTCGCTTTTTTCTCTGGTCGCCGCGTTCATCATAGAAATTTGAAAGTGATACTTGCCTTGACCCAGTTGTGTCCCCAGCCTAGGTAGGCGCACGTTTATGGAACTCATCGTGAACGCGTGTCTGTGGCGTGTGTCTCACCGCAAGTACAGCTCTACTTAGTAATTTGTTGATAACGGCATTGACTCGTCGCTTCCCGTTAATTTCGCGCACGGTTTTGTGAGGTTATCACAGCTTGTTGCTGTGTTCTGATACTGGCAAGCATGCACATCCCCTTGTTTATTGATTTTCATCCCTTCCAACAAGCCACTGCAGATGTATTATTAAATCCTGTATGTTTTCCAGACTTTGAAGATGGATGCAAGGCAGTGTTTTCAAGCATTTGGTTGCCAGCCTAGTGATCAACTCTTGGTGGTCAAGGAACAGCATCTTGCTGACTCCAACTTTGTGTTTGCTTACTTGATGAAGCAGGCTTTGCTGGATGAAAATAATAGGGTCTTACTGCTATTGACTCATAATTCTCTGCCTCATTATGAATGTGTTGCGAAGAAAATTGGACTTAACTTGATCAATAAAGTGCAATCTGGTATGGTTCATGTTATTGATCTGCAGAGTATTGTTTTAGATTTATTGAATAATCAGTTGCCTTCGGTGGACTTATTAAGTACTATTCAAAGAAGAATTCAACAGAATGTTACAGAAAATACAAACTATAAATGTTGGGTATTTATTGATGATTATACTCATATTCAAGACTGCACTCATGATGTAGCGGAGAGTATAAATTTCCTCAATATGTTATTAGGCGAGTTTTATAATGAAACTATTAGATATATTGTGGGGCTGCATGTTGGTGACGAAAATGATAGGATCCTCAGCAGCGATTTAGAATATTCGGCTGATTGTATTATCGACGTTTCGCTAATGAAAACGGGGCGGAGTGATGACATCTCAGGGATACTGAAAGTTCTCAGGAACCGGAAATTAATCACTTATCACTATAAAGTTAGGGAGTATGGGGTTGATATTATTGCTCCCGGCAACTTTTTGATTTCTTAAATTGATTTTTTTATACTAATTATGTTTGTAAATAAACTACAATGAAACAATTCCTTTTTCTTCACTTCCCAACCAAAAATATAGTCTCTGGTGTAAATATTATTATATTTCTGGATTTGCCTTGATTCAACAGTATTCTTATTGTGTGAGTCAAATTGTATTGTTTTAGATAAAGAAGTCTCAAAAAGGGCGACAGGGACTAGGTGCACCTTAAGAAATCACCTAAAATGTGGAGAATACTTAGTAATTCAGACAAAAAAAGACCTATTTGGGGATTTCATCATCACGTAATAATTACTTTTTGAACATGAGCACATTTTCCACCCTCCAAAACTTTAAAAAGTGTTCAGGAAAAGTCGGTGAAAGTTATATCTCCGGTAACAATGGAACAATTCCGGGTTTCTTGTTGTTATATGATAGGAAAATAACTCTTTTACAACATATCCACTGTACACCTTAATCCCTTATGAAATACACTAAACGGCACGTCAAAACTGGATAATTTTGCAAATTATAAAGAAAATTATTTACGCTATATCCCCTGTATCAATAAAACGGTATAGGTCATCTTACGTCTGATGGTGTCATCATAAGAGTGTCTTAACCAGGTGCATACATTTGCAACCCGTTGAACCCTCATGAAGGGCTCTAAAATGCTCATCAATAATGGTTATTCTAAAATTTTACGCACGTGCTGTGAAAAATAACCTATATCTTCTACAACAATAGAGTAATTGGTAGTTTTTTAACATCTTCTTTTTCTACATTTAATTCAATCTGAAATAAATATAACTATGGATTACGTATTCAACGTTGAAGATAAGAAAAAAACAGACGATTAATAAAAAATTGGTGGAGGCGCCGGGCATTTTAAGTTTTAAATAAACTAAAAATTTCATAATGTAAAATTCCTCCCTGCACGTGAATTTGAAAACCATTTTTGTTTAACTCTTTTAACTTCCATGAAATGTGGAAAACACTGAATTATTCATTTTCTTTATATTTCATATGCAAAAAATAAACAATAACAATTTAAACTTTGTTTACAAAGGCAGGAAAAATCATTACACTGAATTCTCCAATAGTTAATGTAGCTATTGAGTTATTTATCTTTCGACCCAAGAACTTTCGTATCAGAGAAAAGAAATTACGAAAATTTATAGAAAAATTAAAAAAAAAACATATTTTTTGTTATACTTGAAGCTTGAGTTAAATATAAGTTTCTGTTTTAATTACACCTTACCATACTTCGTGTAGGTATTTCTTGCGACTTGGGTAGCAAATGAAATCAATAAGTAACAAAGTATTACTCTCAGGATCATAACAGTGGTTTAAATAATTTCTGAGCCTTTCAAAGTTTGGAAGCTCAGTAAATATCGGCGAGCAAACGTGTCGGAGGAAAGAAAATTATACAGCTCTGACTGGTCACGTTCATATCCACATCATTTTTTCACGACGTTATCGACATGTAGTTTCCTACCGCAAGTACTTAAAATAACAGCGTGAAATATTAACAGAATAATCGCTTTTCACTGCGGCGCCAAAATGTACCTTGCGGTTTTATACCTTTAAAGTTTTCTTTTGTGTGCCTTGCACCAAAAATAGAAAATCCAAGCGAATTTAATGCATGTGTACCCATCTAATTTTAACATCTTAAAGAGCCACGTGTAGCCGCAACGCGTGTGGTTCTTGGCATTCGTGCGGGTGGTATACAATTTAATTAAAACAAAAAATATTGATTAGTCGTGTAAACGGCAGGCGGCAGAAATCTACCAACTAATCTAACAATGCGCGCCCAGGGTGCTGGAAAAACATTCGAGGTACGAGGTGTTTTGAAAGCTTGCATGTTTCGGACATGGTAATACTTTGACGGAGGGCTGGTTGGAGCTGTAACCTCCCTTGACTGGTTCGGTCAATGTTCAATGTTAAGGTTAAACACTATTTTTCACGCCGCAAGCCGCTATCGCGCACAGTAAGCCATAGCTTTTACACAAATTGGTTGGGCCTTTATCAAGGACAAGGGAAAGCTCACCTTAAACTCCAAGTCGCCAAAACTAACTAACCAAGTAATTAACAACATATTTTTTTTAAATGTAACCTTATGTCAAAGAAACTAATGCAGCTTATCAGTCATTGATTATTTATTTACTTTAGAAACATAATTTATTTAATTAACCAGAAGTATCTAATACGCACAACCCAATGTGGCTTATTTCTATTTTGATCGAAGACGATAAAGATCTTTGAGATTTCCATATGAAATATGGATTGTGACGCTCGAGAAAACCGCCAAATTGGTCCCGCTTTGTATGCACGACGCAAACATTCTAATATCGTCGGAAAAATGGCAATCAGTTAAATTGCGTTTGGCGGTCACTTGTTGTGCATACCATGTCCGCGCGCACGCTGCGAACTTTACGTCATTCGCGAATTAATTATTCAATGCCGAGTTAAATATGTACGGAGCGTGTACTTGAGCCGCCTGAGGTTTCCGACGGAAAAACCAAGGAAACTGCGGGATGCCCTTGAATCGCAAATGGCGTTCCTTCTGCCGCTCAATTAAATCCAGCACGTCATACTCGCGCAAATGAAATGTTTTTACGCAAATTACTCAAATTCAAACGGTGGAACTTTTGGACAGGACAAGGCTAACAAATTTCCAGATAATTTAATTCTTTGTATGTACATAGGTATTTATTTTAACAGTGTTAATATCGAGTTTGTAATTCCATGGCAAACTTTAATAATTGGTTCGGTCCGGCTGGGAAAATTGCGGCTGTGTCCACATTTCAAATGCATTTTTAATCGAATTGCAGCAGTTGGCGTCGACTTTGCGATATGATCGTGTGCAAGCCGGCTGAAACACGGTCACCTAAAATGTATTAATGCACCCTCATTTAAAGGATACTCCGCATGCAGTTGGTGCAGGCTGCAATCTAATGGTGTCAGTGGAGAATGCGGCAAACGCGCCGCCCACGCGTGAACTGGTTTCGAATCCTGACTCAGATTCACACGAACACCGCCGCACGCAGACAGATAGTCATCGTGCTATCTAGTGGAGCATCTACTAGACTAATTATTCATAGCACTAAATTGCATAAATGACATGAATGTGGCATTTGGAACCTGAATTACGTTGTTTTTTCAATTTTGCTGCGCAATTTATTCAGAATTTGAAAAACAATCAGATTGATATCAGTAAATGTAAGAGATGTTTAAAGTAAAAGGAATACATTAAAAACCTTCAAAACAAAAGAAAAGCAATTAGTAAAAATATAATAAATGTTGTGTATGGTTTTGATATCGCAACTCAATCATTGATTATTGTGTAAACTAAGTGCATTATTAATGCAATGTGCAAAATAAATAAATAATTTAGCCTGCGTGGATGAATGTAGGTAATGCACACATATCTTTTCCCTTTTAGAACTACTATTTACTAAATGATAGTATCCTTGAAGTCCTTTTAATATTTACCGCATGTGCGTACCCAAGTTATGTATTATTTGAACGTCTAGGTAATATTACTATCAATCATGCATTCAATAAATAACTGAATTGATTTTCGTAGATATTTTACGCGTTGTGCAAAGCTCAATATCATTAGCGGAAAAACCTGAAAAATTCATGCATTCGGTCATTTATCACAAAACACAAATTTAGATGCACTTATCGCTGGAAGTAAATAAAAAGTGCATTTCGGTTCGTTGGTGAGAAAAAAGCAACTTAATATCAAATCAATTTAATAACCAAAGCATTAATTACTTCATGCCGTCTTATGCTATGCATGGTGAATCAATAAATCAGGTGTTAGTTTAACCACGGACGCACCGTGCATTAACGCATAATATTTTCATAAATTTCATAACGAGCGCTTTTTTGAAATTTGGTGGACGTCAGGTAACGACCGAACCAAGTGGTTGAAGCGAGGGAATGCAGCGTAGGTTTATGAATCTTCGGCGTGTACGTAAGTTGCTGTTGATGTTGTGCTTGGTGTAGCCAAGACGACAAAAGCTGCACCACCGCGGTGGCGGCGTCGCGACGCCTGCACAATACGATTACTATGGTTTTTAGTTGAGTTTGGCGCTCATACGTCCTGCGCGGTTGTGCAGTATTGCATCGCATGACTCGTTCACCTCAAACTACAAATCAAAGAAAAATTATTTTTTGTTTAATTATCGCAATTAAAATGTATTTTGTCCTTTCAATTGATGGTTAAAATAATGTGAAAAGTGAACGTATTTTTGATTGTTTTTTGATAAACATTTGTGTGGTGGCCGAGGAAACTGTAAGCAATCAAGATTCGGTCAGAAACGTAAACGTATCCAGACCGGCACTATGGGTTCCGAATCCGCCGTCGAGGTTCTGATAGCGATACGTCGAAAACCGCCAGAAAATAGCGCCGAAGAGCGACTTATGGTGGCAGTGCGCATCAATCCGCTCAAGTGATGAGAACCAGAGTTTTATTCACTCAAAATCAAAGGTGAGAACAGTTCGTCCTAGAACATGTTTTCTAGCGTTTTTATTTGTTCATCCGGAATAATCTGGTCAGTAACACCCAATAAAACCGATTAACGAGGGGTGCAAGCTTACTTTTATTCTTCCTGAAACGCTTAGAAATTAAGGGCGACACGTGACTCATTCGGAATTTCTGGGTATATAATAATCAATTTAAACAAGTCTGCATGTGTAGATAAAATTAACCAATGACAACAGTGTACTCAACTTTCATAGATATTTGTTTACATTCTTCGAAGTTTATCAGTTTCTTTTCATTACTTAGAACAAGTAAATGTTTATTTATAGTCATGCATGTTTTATTCAGATCATAGTCGAGCTTCTTTACAAATTTTCATTACTTTGTAATTATAAATGACGTATGATTTATTAAATATTTTACACTGAGAAGGTCGCCACGGTGCATCAATTTGAAATTAGCGGTCAAGTTCATTCGAGATAGTTATTTATTTATCAGGAAATAGAAATTTATCATAATGATGAATCGATAAATATTATTGACGACACAATGATGATCACGTCGCACTGGTGG